TAAAAAATAAATCAAATCAAATAAAAAAAAATAATAAAATGAATTATTGCAGAAATAATTATTGTAAATAATTAAGCATACATCATAAAAATAAATTATGGACATTTCCGTTAACTCTAAAACAACGCAATGAATTGCAAAATTCAAAATCCGAGTAAAACTGGTACACCTGTATAATAATAATAATAATAATAATAATAATAATAATAATAATAATAAATAAATAAATAAATAAATAAATAAATAAATAAATAAATAAATAAATACATACATACATTAATTAATAAATAAATAAACAGAAAATTCATATTCATATTAATACAATACATTATGTCCTATTTTTACAGATTTATTTGACATATTTTAATATTTGTATTGTAAAAATGTATTAAATATGTGTGTACAGGTAGTTTACACTTTAAGGAAAAATAAAAATTTAGAAAAATTACCAGTACACTTTCCATTAAAATGTACAGCCATTTCCTAAAAAAACGACACAATTCATTGTGTTTTTCAAAATACAGGCAAAACACTTGTAAAAAATAAAAAATCTATAAAAATCAATATGGAAAATTCCTTCACATTAACACAGTACATTGAGCCCTATTTTATGAATATATAAAACTCTCAAAAAGGTGTTTTTTATGAACATCGTTAAAATAATAAGAATAAGAATAAAAGTTATTATTATTATCATTATTTATTTTTTATATAATAATAAGCCGTTTAAACAAAATTCCCTCTTTAAACAAATTAATATTTTTCATGGTTTCACATTACTCTGTAATGCTTTAATTTGAAACTTAAGTGCTTTGTTTCTTAAAAGTCTGATATTTTGACACAGAAGAGTCGCTATCATGGTCAAATGACCTTAATTATATTTGTTTTAGTCAGGGAAGCTCTGATTTATTAAAAGACGACTGATTCCCTCCATAAACAAATCAGCACAGCAGCTGTAGACGGATTGTTTTGACTCCATGTGATAGTAGATCAGGAAATCAAGTCTGTTTACGACAGGCACTTAATATGACCCGTGGCCAAGAGCGGGACAGGGAGGTCAGTGTGTGGGTAGAGTATAGCCTTTCACTGCTACGGACAGATAACTCTACCTGTCTCTGTTCGAACATCACCACAAACCTGACTGCATTTCAGACACTAGTTACAGATCTAGCACATGTACGTTAGTTTGATTTTGTAAACAATTCAAGTTATATTTGATTAAATACATGCTTAAATATATGCAAATCACATTCTACATGTTGCATAGAATATCCAAGTTAAAATTTAGTTAGTGTTCAAAAGTCAATTAATTATATAAAAAAAAAAAAGTTTTTATCATACACTCTCAGAGAACAAAAAAAGGTACAAAAGCTTTCACTGGAGTGGTAGTGGAGTTACATAATCAGATTACTGTTTAACTAGTAACTAGTAAAGTAACGCATTACTTTTCAATTTACAAGTTTTTTGTTATTAAAAAAAAATAAAAAAACAAATACGCAGGCCCAGCCAAGGTGACAAAATGTAACGCAAAAGTTATGCAATGCATCACTTTCCATAAAAAGTAACTAAGTAATTTAATTAGTTACTTTTTTATGGAGTAATGTAATATTGTAGTGCATTACTTTTAAAAGTAACTTTCCCCAACACTAGAGGTACCCTTTCAAAATATACACCTTTGTACCTTATTTACACCTTTATGGTGCATATTAGTACCTTAAAGTTACACATTCGTACTTAAAGTGTACATATTAGTATCTAAATGGTACATTTTAGTAGCTTTTGAAAAAGTACCGGCCAAGTGACAACTATTGTACCTTTTTTTTCTTAGAGTTACTCTGATGACACACTTCCGTAATGTTGTGAACATTGTAAATCTAGCTTTTTTTATGTTTTCGTTTTTTTTTTCATGTACATTTGTAACACTAAACTTTGTGTTATTTGACTTTGATATTGAATTAGTAAAAATTGTTAACACAGTTGTGAGGGTGTTTTAACACAATGACTGAGGAAGCATCAGTAACTTTTCTCTGAGTGCTGTTACATTTTCATCTTTTTTTCGGAATAAATGGTAATGCAAATTCATCCAGTTGCCCAACTATGACGACTTACACTTTTGCGAATCCTGGAAATGTGAAAAGTGCCCATTGTTGACTTACATTAAGAGTCATATAGATCTATAAAATGTATTTTTTCCCCATTTATTTCATTTCTGACTTGGAGAAACAAATGGGATATTAAATCTTGTTCATAATTTCCAACCTATGAGATTGCTGCCTGATGATTACACATTCATATTGTTTTAATTAGACTGACTCCCCTTGAAAGCCATTGTATAATTTGCCCGCTGGCGTGGATGGGAAGGATTTGGTGAAACACTATAGGTTTCCTGTGACGCCCTAGTGAAGTTCTTAAGAATCTACGGTTGCATGCTTGTTGGACAGTCATAGCACACCTCTCATAGTCTCCTCTGCCACGGCCATCACATTTCAAGATAAAACCCTCTCAGTCTTCCGTCCAGTCACTGTATCCCGCGCAGGGCGGCCATGCACGGCTCCTGAATGCTCCTGCAGAAAGCTGATCTTCTCATGGCCGGCAAGCAACGTGGCAACAATAAGCAACAATCTGCTTTTTCTTTCCTCAATGCACTTTCTCTGCTTCTCGGTGTTAGGGGACGTTACTTTTACAAGTTACAACATTGTCATACTTATAAAAACTAACTACTTATGGTACGTCATTATATTTTATGGAATGTACTACGTTAATGTGGATTCATTTTTGTTTATCAGCAGTTCTGAAGTTTTTAAAGGTGCTGTTGTATGTAATTGTTTGACTTTACTAAAGCATAAAATATCATAATAAGGTGGAAAACATGCTAAGTTCACATACTTGTTTCTCTGAAAAACAATTCTATAGCCACTTATTCTACTTTGAAATGTGTGTTCCGTTTCGGAATGTCTGTTTTTGTTTTGGTCTGTGTGACTCCGCCCACTGCCAATTTAACCAATAGGATCGCCCCGGGTTGCCAGATGGTGAAAAACACAGCGTATTGCAGCCATGGAAGCCAGCAAATGAACTGGGTCTGAGATCACAGACTCTATCCAACCTAAAAAACTTCACGAACCATCTAAAAAGCCCTATTGCCAGAGATAATATAAAACGTATAAAACAATTCATCAACTTTCAGTGTAAAGCTTGCCGTCTTCCACTGTCAGTTGCGCTCGTTCCTGTTGCGTGTCCTCAATCTGGCAACCCATGTGAGCATAGAGTCTGAGGAAGATAATATAAAATAAAAATCGCAAGGGGATTTGAACAAATACCACATTATTTTAGTAGTCTCTTGAAAATGTGCTACCCACAACACTGGTGTCTTTAATATCTCACCCTGTCATGTAGTTCTCTGGGTTTGTCTGGCTGTTTAATGGAACTCAATACCACGTCCTCTGACCTGCATTTAAAGGCTTTGTGGTTTCCTAGTAAAAACCAAAACCTGAAAACGACTTTGACAAAACTACGATTCTCTCCCGCACGCTGCTCCTTTTGCTCGAACATTGTGTCATCGCTTGTGGTCTGAATTTCTTCAAATTGTCTTTTTATCTGGAGCATTACCAACTGTTTGAAACGCAATTCAAATCTGTTTCCCTATGAACTCTTAGCACTTAACCTAGCGAAGAAAGGCCTTGATTGCTTTAATAACAATACGGCGGCCTGGGAAGTGAGAGGTGCTGGAGAGGTCCTACAGAGGAGCATATTAACACGCATAAGGAGGAAATCTGCTCTGGGGAGGTTGATTAGGGTCACAGTGAAGTGTCAATGAGAGAAAAAAAGAGATATACAAATACCTGAGAAAATAGATTGAGCAAGCCATAATTAGAAAGCAGATATGCACACACACACTTGTACCTGTCCTTCCTTCTCCATCTGCAACAAAAAAGTGGTTATCAGCTAGTTTGTGCTTGAAGCTCTAGACTTTTGCACAATGTACCAATATTGTTCTTAAAATGCTGCATTGAATCAAAAGTAAAATTGTCAATATTGGTTTTGAAATAGCTCTTGAAATTTGATCGTTTTATGCTCTCAACAGCCAGTAATTATCATAAAATAAATCGTGATCGGAATTAACCGTGTTTATTCTCACTGCAAGCTAGCGTACGCAATGTCTAAAATGATTCACGCTTAGAAATTGACTGTTCATTTAATTTTTTAAATGTATTTATTTATTTATTTGTTTATTTGTTTATTTATTATTATTATTTTTTTACAGCAGTTGATTTGTCTGACTAAGCAAAGCTCAAAGTTAAGAATAGCTAAATTTGTTATTTGAACTTAATAGATGGAAAATGCTAATAAAAATGTTATTTTAGCTATGCACAATTTTACATTCAGTTGAATTTTATTCTGTTGCATTAAGCAGTTTTTTTTTTTTTTGCTGCTACAAGAGTAGACCTGCAGTCCAGCCTGCTGGTCGACTCTCGCTCACACACACACACACACACACACGCACGCACGCACGCACACACACACACACATACACACGCAGACACACACTAACATATTTTCAGTGCAACACAGGCTTATGAAAAGCAGCAGGGATTGTTCTTGAATTAGGAAAGTCAGGGGCACCTAAATAGGGTCTGAGAATTAAAAGGGAAATGGGGGGTCAGGCCTGGATTGTGCTTGAATTAGCCAGACTATTCAGGTCCTCCTGAAAAGCTTCTGGGCTCTTTCTCCACAAGCAAATTGGGAGGAAATCTGGCTATTGTCACGTGCTTTGAAGTGGCTGGGGCTTTAGCGAGGTGCTTACCTACAGATGAAAGTTGAGACAATGGAGCCGCACGGCGCGGACTGGAGGGAGAGAGAGAGAGAGAGAGAGAGAGAGAGATACAAAGAGAGAGAGAGAGAGCCTTGGAGGACAGGTTTTCAGGAGGAGGGAACGGCTTTAAAATGATGGCTTTGGCATCTTACATGCAGCAAAAGAAGGAATGAACTTAGAACTTCAGTAGAGAATTGCAACTGAAGTGCAAAGCAGCGCTTTTGTTTAAGGTATGGTTACACTGTGTTTAAGGTATAGTAACAAAAGCTTCAAGTTTTGTTACTTTGGTCTAAGCATGTGTCTATAGTGTTCAAGCAATAGGCAAAAACTGTAATCAAAGTGAAGAAGATTGAGTCTTATTTTAAAGAGTTTACTATATGTAATATTAGTTCTGAAGTTCAAAACATCTTTTTATGATCTTCGTATGTATCACACATTTACGAAAAAAATGTTGTTGGAAATTCATTTTATTTCACTATGCTACATTCATTCTTATTTTGTGTAGAATATACTGTATCTTTGTCAGAAAACTAAATAATATACTCTAAAAAAATCGGAAAAAGATAGGGCACAATGTACTGTATTGATATGAAGGAATTTTTTGTACTGATTTATTTATTTTTATTTTTTAAATATTCCACCTGTTTTTTGAATTTTATACTTCATTGCATTGTGTTTTAGAGTTAATAGGAATGTCCGTAATATTAATAGATAATGTCCTGGCATTTAATTTTTATTGTGTGTGTGTGAGTGAGTGAGTGAGTGAGTGTGTTTGTTTGTGTGTGTGTGTGTGTGTGTGTGTGTGTGTGGTGAACTACAGCTTTGAAAAGTAGAAAATATTCTTAAAAGTGGCTGATAATTTTGCTATGTCTCTGTTTTTAGGAAGTAAAACATTTTGTGCTGCTTGCTTGTAGCAGTTTGTGTAAAAGGATAGGATACAAAGGTACTGTTATATTTTACTTCAGATTTTAGTCTCTGTGAGTTGGTTGAAGCAGATATGCACACACACACTTGTACCTTTCCTTCTTTCTCCATCTGCAAAAAAAAAAAAGTGGTGAATCTAGATACGTTTCAAAACTTTCTGTTCTTTGAAGTTTGTCATGATACTATATACATCTATACCAGCGAGCTTAAATCAAACGTTAAAAAGTCATAGTCCTTTAGTTGTATTACTTTCTTGACTTAAGTTTTGTGTCCAAAATCCCCTCACATGAGGGTTGTTACTCACTTTCACTTGTTTCACTGCTTTACTCTTGAGGGACATTTGTCTGTGAGTAAAAGTGTCTTTTCTGTCTGTTAGTGGTGAGTTGTGTCCAGGCCGTGGGCCCTCACCTCTCCCCTCCTGGGGCAGCCCGTGTTTTTCGCCACCGCCCATACCCTCTTCCTCCCTTTACACCCCTGAGGTCTTCCGGAGCCTTCCTCAACATTCTGCCCATGTCCGCACTCTCATTAATCAACGTCAAGCTTCAACTGGAGGACAAGGCCAGTATTCTGTGTGCTGCCCCCTCAGACGCTCATACATCTCATTGTTCTGATTCACATGGGCAAAGAAACGGCCCAGAGTCCGACATGAAAGGGATGAGACTGAGAAAGAAAGAAGAGGAGGCATTTCTGCATCTTTCTCTCTCTTGTTCCCTCCCCTCAATGCTCTCTCTATCCGTCTCTCTGTTCATTTTCAGCTAGTGTATGGGAAGAGACGATCGTTTTCAAGAATACATTTAGGTCAGTCTATAATTGCCATTTGTTTATGTTATATGTTATATGTGTAAAAAAAAAACCTTTAACAATGAAAAGCATTACATAAATATTTATTTTTTAAATTCATCATTAAGAATCAATCAACTATTTATTCATGCATTCATTCATTAATTCATTTGTTTGTTTGTTTGTTCGTTCATTCATTCATTCATTCATTCATCTATCTGTCTGTGTCTGTCTGTCTGTCTGTCTATCTATCTATCTATCTATCTATCTATTGTACATATAAAATTTCAACCCTGTTACCTTGTTTTTTTATATCAGACAACTGAAAAGAAATGATTTTCAACCCTGTTACCTTGTTTTTTTATATCAGACAACTGAATGAAAAGAAATGATAAAGAAAGAATATAAATATCAACATTGAAGTGTAGTTTCACAATCTTGAGCACAATACTTCAAATTAAACAAATCAAATTAATCTGTTAAATTTTCATTCCTGTTACCATCAACCCTGTTACCTTAATTAGATTAATATAATGTATTAGTATTTAGTTTTAGATGTCTTAAACACATTATTTGCCTTATGGAATGTTTTTAATAAAAATATAATGCACTTAAAAAAAAAAATCTTCTTATCAAACTTGAAAAGGCACCCATTTACAGAAATGAAAAACAGCTATTGAGAGGATGAGAAAAAAGAGGGGGAAGAGAGAGAGAGGAAAACGGAGAGAGAGAGGCAACGTGTATGCCACTCTTTGTCCTGTGTTCATTGTCCGTTGTTTGTCATTAAACTTTGCTGTAGCTCCCGGATGGAGCTGCCACTTTTTATACAAAGACCGCACTTTTTTTACCACCCTGGGAAAAAAAGCATTTAATCATGTCTAGTGGGAGAAAACTCAAACATTTTTGAAAGGTTTTATGCTGATGCAGAAAGTTGACAGACAACAGAGTGCAAAGATCTGAGCGGACACCGTCAGTGATTTGAATGAGCGAAACGGAAAATAATTTGGGCCAGCAAGCCTGACCGTTTCTCTTTCTCTCCATCTACCTTCCCGCCCTTTCTCCATGCTGTCATAGTGTCCTGTCCATCAAAAATAAGCCCTTTAGCTCCTCGCTAACAATCCTGCTTATGAACGGGGTTTGATACAGGAAACACAGGATCCTGAATTTAAAAGACTGCGTCTGGGTGAGCTCACGCTTGTCTGCAGCTGTAGGTGTCAGTCGATGTTGGTGTTATGCATGTCTCCGTCAAAATGCGAGCATAGGAAGATGACAGACGTGAGAGACGGCACAAGAGTGCACGGCCCGGATGACTGATGACCCCCCCTCCGGGTCCCGTCAGCCCTGTTACTCCAGCCCGTCACATGCTGCATTGTGCGACTGTTCACCAATGGACCTCTGTCCCTGACACCGAGAAGCAATCAGTCTTTTCATCTGTGCACTCTCACTTTTACACACATACAGTTCCTCTAGGCACTTACCGGCTGGACATTGGGGTGGGGGTAAATTACATTGCCAATCAATCTTCTCCACCGACTTGATGAAAGCTGTCTAAACTTTCGCTCTTTAACTAACCCTCTGAGGTCTATTAAGAATGCCCGGCGTAAACTGGACAAACAACAGCTGAGATTAAAAGCCATTCGCTTCTGCTAGAGGTGCTTGAGAAGTGGTTTCTTTGGGAGAACGAGCAAGGCTGTTGGGTTCAACAGTTAGATGCAGAAAAGTAGTAGCTGGTGGTTAAGCCGTTTTTTTTTTTTTCGTTTTTTTCTCAGCAGTGCCACCTATTTTCGGTTGGCTTTCTTCAAGCTGACTGACTTCAAACATGAACATTAGTGGTCTTTGCTAAAGAAAGCAAAAATATTTGGTACTGTTTTTTGAAGGTGTTGTTGTTACAGTGTTACAGTGTTGTTACAGTGTAGTTACTCATAAGTACTGAGTTTTGACGGAACCCTTTAACCCCAAGTATTAAACTTTGGTGCACAAGTTGTCCCAATGTTTTTGAGTCACAGACATGAATAATATCTCAAATAAAGTCACTTTTTAGGGGAAAATGTGCTATTACTTTTCTAAGCAATAAGTGGATAAAACGGGCAAAATATTATGGATTTACAGTACATTGATCAGAACACCATAAAGACATGGGGATAGACTCATTTCAACATTTCAGCTCCTAACAAGCTTCCAGAACACCTAAGAATCTGCATAGAAATTAGTCATTCATCACCCTAGCATGGCAGCAACATACTACTGTACGTGATCAAAAAGTAAAAATTGTCTGTTTTTTGACTCCACAGAATCTATAAAAAGTCAAGACATTTGTTGTCATGTGGTGTTGACATAAATATATCCATTTTGAAATACTACAGATTTTTTTTCAATGATTTCTAATGACTTAAAAAGGACAAGCAGTGCCACCAATAAAGATATATATTTTTCATTTTCTAAAGAATGAAAGGCGAGAGATAGAAAGAGATCTTTGTGAGGACCCTCCTCTCTGCGATTTTGGCTTAATCTTGAGTTATTTTCTCAGTGAAAAGAGGGCAAAAATACCATGACGGTCGCAGAGCAAATTTCCCCATGCCCATACACGGTATTAAGATGTCTCTGATCCACAGCGGCCCGCTGATCCCCCCTGTTGTATTCTTCTCGCGCTCTTGTCTGGGACGGTGGCCAAGTGCCACCGAGGACACCGGGCCTAATAAATCATCCCTATTTCAACATCTGCAAGGCCCAAAGGCTACCCCTGACCACGAAGAGCACTTCTCTTTCTCACCGGGAGACTCCTCAGGGATGACAAACCCAGCATTGTCTGAGCTCCAGTGAAGAGGAGGCTCTCTTCTTCTCAACCCATTTGACAAAAGGCGTCTGAAGGCCAGCTTTAGCCTGCCAGCCCAGATAGCTGGCTCTCAGCAGGAAAGACTGCTCCCTCTCTTTCTCTCTCCCGCCATCCTTCGCCCTCTCTCTCGCTCCCGTCTTTTAATACTCTCCTCCCGCGGAGGTCAGTGGCTAGGCCTCGTCCTTTCATTCCCACTGCACTCTCAGGAGAATATAAAGACATCAAGTGCGGAGGAGGGGAAAGAAGCCAAAATTGGCAGAAAGAGATATTAGACATGGCTGTCACCGCTATTCTGTGGCCACTTTTCATGCAAAGTGTCGTAAGACGAAGCGGGGGGATAAATAGATAAATAAACAGCATGGCGGAAAAGTTGGATCTGGGGCTTGTCGCATTATTCATTTTCAAAAACGGGCTGAAAGGGGATGAAAAAATCCTTGACAACGCCAATTACATAGAAGAAAGGGAGAAGAAATCAATTCGTAGTGTTTCAACATTTTATACTTGAGAACTAAGCTATTCATTGGCTTTTAGTGTGCTGCTCCAAGCCAGCATGGGGCCTGATGTGATTATTTGTGTGTGTGGCTGCGAGAGAGCATTTTTACTGATACTAAAGGCGAGTATAAAATAACTAGTTTGGTTAAAAGGCTTTCAGGTATGCTCTTCTACCTTAGCATTTCAGAGATCATTTTGAAAGCACTGGATATGTTAAAAAAAAGACATCTGTCGTCGCTCCCTCTGCATTGGTCCACTGTCTTCCACTTCAAAACATTTGGATTTCCAATTAACCCAAGAAGAATTGTGAATTTCCTGCTGGCAGACAGGCCTTGATGTCTTAATCTTCAGCATGTCAGTGCCATGAAAGGCGGCATTTGACAGTGTTTCACAGTATTGAACATACCCCCAAAAGCCACCCAGCGACTCTAAAGAGGGTCAGGCCAGCGGGCACAACACCAGCCCCAACTGTCTCTTCTGTGCAAAAGCAGCATATAGTAACAACATGCGTATTGTCTGTCTGGAGCTGCCTCAGAGTCCCAGGGCTCCTCGGGGGGCTGGAGAGCACAGGAGATCACTGTGACTTGTTAGCCTTGGCTGGCAGACATGTGGACAGAGTGTTGTTCTTGGATAGAACAAAGAACAGCATATAACAGTATTAAATTTGCCAGCAACAGCCACAGCATATATGATAATGACAGTAAACTGTCCACAGTGCTTTTTTCCCCTCAGGCTTCAATACAACCTGAGAGTTTTTGAGCAATTAGTTGGTCAAGCATATGCATTAACAGACAAGGTCTGAGAACAGTGAGCTGATTCATTAAGCACTGATAAAAATGTTAAGCTACTCATAATCAGACTGTAGTCAACTTAGTAGGTACCCTGTACCTTAGCTAACTTACAGCTACCCTTTAACCCTTATGAAAATAAAAAAAGAAGTTAAACAATGGTAACCACAAATTAACCATGCTACACTAACCATAGTTTAACCATGGTGTTTTGGAGTAAAAATGCTATGTTCTGTCATGAAACTCTCGATGGTGCAGGCTGATGGGTCCTTAACGCAAACTGATGATATTCACAGCGTTAAACTACTCAGCACAAGCTGATTGGTTCATGATGCATCTGCAGCCGATGAGCTTGCTGCATTTAAATGGCTGGTTAGCATTCACTAGAGCATTTTGCAGCGCACTTTCAGTGTTCCTCTGTAGCCCTCCACCTCCCCAGCTCCACCTGTATAGATCTGCTACAGGTTATTTTATTTGCTATTCGTGCAAATACTCACAGAGTATGTCATGATAGAACTGTGGTTATACAAATGGTATTCAATAACCCCATGCCCCCACCCCCCAAAAAATCATGGCTACAAGTGCAGCGGTCATGGTTAGTTTGGATAAAAACAAATAAAGTAAAAAATGTTTTTTAGTGTTTGTCATTTTATCAAATTGCGTCTGGTTTTCCACAGTGTAAATATGTTTACAATGTACATAAAACAAAGTGATGTAGCAGTTTGTTACTTTATGGCGCTTCACTATTTGGCTGAAATACACAAAAAGAATGCACTGTTTAGCTCAGCTGTTGTCATGCTGGCGCCATCTGTAGTTACCTTTTTTGTGACACTCTTTTTTTTGTGCTCTGGTAAGCTACAAGCTATTAGCTTACTCAGTAGGTAAACTACCATTTAAAGAAGTAGTTAACTACACCACAAGCTGCTAACTAAAATATAAACCAAGCGACCGAAAACAATTGGCACACTACTGTATATTGCAGCAATTTCAGGCTGTTTAGCTACTGCCACGCTTGTGCAAACTGTATTTAAGTTATTAGCAATCAGTAACTTTAGTTAGAAAGTAAGAGTTGTATTTTAGAAAATAGAAAGTGTATCCCATTAAGCTACAGTACAAGCTATACTCATCATCAGACTGTAGCTTACTCCGTTACCATTCAAAGAAGTAGTTAACTACACTACAAGCTGCAAACATATGCTAGCAAAACTACCAGCGCAACACCAAACAAATAGAAACCAAGCGACTGAAACAACTGCCAGACATTTTGATGCAATTCACAAAATGTTAGCTGTTTAGCTAAGCTTCTGTCACAGTGCTGCCACTTTGCTGTT